TCCTACGTCCAATCATACGCTGCCGGCGCCATTGCTTTCGCGGCGCGACTGTTGCACGCTTACCCTAATATATATAGCAGGTAGGAAAGCCGGATCGCAAAATTCGCTCGATGCTCGCTGGATTTCACACTTTCACAGCACCAATACACATCCAACAGCTTCCATCTTTGTTTCTCTTTCAACAACAGTGTTCACTTGTTATAAAAACATGTCTTTGTTCGTAACCGAGCTGTGTCACGCAAAATCACACAAAGAATGACGAAATTCTCGCGTTCGATCAACATCTGCAAATATGCTATGCCTGCTGTATAACGCTAGTGTGGCATAGTAAGGGTGCCCGAGCCCGCTCAGATCGCGCGCACTCACTCAGATGCGCAGCCGTATAATGTTGATAACTCAATAACCACTATCCCGATTTTGAAGATTTTTTTTTACTATCCCGCCGGGATACCAAGCATTGAAATCTGGTATCCAACACAAGAATCTACTATCCCGCGGATATCGGGATACCGCTAATTTCGACCCCTGATTGGAACATTGGGTGGTACAGTGTGGCCCCGTTATAACGTGATCATTGAGGTTCATAAAATGTCATCGTGGGGTCGCACTAAATCGAGGTTGAAAAAAATCAGCGAATAAACTCGACTGACCCAATGTTGACAAGTCACAGCAACAAGTCATGTAAACTCATTATAGTTGCGCGATCTATAGGCGATCGTACGTCGCTTCGACCTAAGGCCGGCTTAACTCACCAAAAAACCTTTCAGTTCCGGAAAGAGCAAAAAAAGGTCCAATGAATCATCGTGTTATATCCGAATTCGCGTTAAATCGGGGCACGTAAAATCGGGGTTTCACTGTATTTTACATCGTGCACACAACCTAGCTAATGAACACTGCCATGCTGTAATCCATGCATTATTTCTTGTAAATAATTCCAGATAGCCATGTCGAGTTACTCGCTAACAAGGACTATCTTGTTGGGCGTAAAGAAGGCGACATCGTAATCCCAGGCGACCCCTCCATAAGCAGACGACATGCCACGCTCCGTGTCAAACATGTAGAGAGCCACCTGGTGAGAAAATGCCAACCCTGCATGCGATTTGTATCGCTTTCTGCAGGAAAGCACTTAATTTTGACAATAATTGCTGAGGGTAGCTGCACGTATCTTGTCACGTATACGACGTTGCTTTGCTTCTAGGCGTACCCACATCTCCTGCCCGAGCTGAAACTGTCGGAGTGGTCGAAGTATGGGACGTACGTGAACGGGGCGAAGCTTGCCGAGACCACAACAGTGGAGCTAAAACATGGAGATGTCGTTCAGTTTGGAACGCTGCAAAGTCGCTACAGGTAAGGGAGAGTGTGTCAGATCAACTAAGAAACAGTCATGACTGTGTGGTGGTGGCCGTGGGGTCGTGGTCGGGGGTGGTGGCCGTGGGGTGGTGGCCGTGGGGTGGTGGCCGTGGGGTGGCGGTCATGGGGTGGTGGCTGTGGGGGTGGTAACCGTGGGCTGGTGGCAGTGGGGTGGTGGTTGTGGGGTGGTGCAGGGAAAAAATGCATTTTTTTCACGGGAGCTCTTTTTCAAGTCTGTGGAAAAAATAGCTCTCGTCAATAATTTTACGGGAGCTATTTTGAGCTTCACGGGAGCAATTTCTGAGATTTGAAGAGTGAATCGCTTATCGCTCCTGTGTATTTCTTACCCTGGGTGGTGGCCGTGGGGTGGTGAGCGTGGGGTGGTGGTCGGGGGGTGGTGACTGTGGGGTGGTGACCGTGGGGTGGTGGCCGTGGGGTGGTGGCCGTGGGGTGGTGGCCGTGGGGTGGTGGCCATGGGGTGGTGACCGTGGGGTGGTGGCCGTGGGGTGGTGGCCGTGGGGTGGTGGTTGTGGGGTGCTGGTTGTGGGTTGGTGGTTGTAGGGTAGTTACTGTGGGATGGTGGTCGTGGCGGTGGTGACTGTAGCTTAATGACTATGGGGTAATAACTGTGGGTTGATAACTTGATACCTATGCGTATGGTTGCTTCTGTTTACAGTGTCCGCTACAGTAGATTTGTTGTGACAACGTCATGCGTCGACACAGAGGACAAGCACTCGCTGAAGGCGCACATCCTGCGACTGGGAGGACACCTGGTGGCCGACTGGAGGAAGGACAGCACGCACCTGGTGATGAACAAGATCACCGTCACGATCAAGGTCGTGTGTGCGCTCGTCTCTCAGCGTGCCATCGTCACCCCTGCGTACATCCTCGACCTTACCACAGCCATTGAGACGCGTGCCAGCCACCCACAGCCACACCGGTACGCCCGCGTGGCCTCAGTATTGCTATAAACGCACATTACTATTTGTTTTGTGTGTGTAGTCTGTGAAAACATGTAGAAGGGCGTAGCGAGCAAATCACCTTACTAAAGTTCAAGCAATACTGTGATGGTTGGTAAATGGATCTGTTGGCTATATGATTTATAATGATATTGTCAGGAGTATATCAATATATTGATAGACTCCTATTGATAGACTCCCGGGGACGGTTTCACGAAGCGTAATTAAGTCCTTAATCATGATTAAATCACTAATGATTAACTTCCCGTACTTAAATTGAAGTGACTGTTTCACGAAGCGTAATTAACTTTAATCATGATTAAGTTAATCACAATATTTAATTCTACTCAGGAGCATGATTAAATCCACTAATTTCATAATTAGTTGCTAGTACTAGTAGTAGTATGTAGGTAGTACTAGTATATTAAGTACGCTGCAGATTTTACAATTGGAAATTTTACTTCGATTTTTTCCCAAGGAAATTTAAATTATCTAAGATTAGCTGTACTAATTTAGTCATTATAATTGCAAATTAATTCCTTTTCATGTACCGAATTTGCAGATACTGTTGGCGTTGTCCGCCATTTTGAATACAGTGTAATTCATGTTTAAGTCAGCTAATTATGTGATTAGTTAAATATGTACTTAAATCGCTTCGTGAAACAGATTTTTAAGCATGATTAACTAATCATAATTACAGGAGGTTAATTATGATTAGTGATTTAATCATAATTAAAGTTAATCACGCTTCGTGAAACCGGCCCTGATATTGTATGCTATGACATTAAATTATTCGTCTACCTGTTTCATCTTTTGAAGTGACAACATAATTGCGCGCAGTAATGACAATATTCCGCTTGTTGTTTGCACGCAGGTATATTCCTGCACTGGCCGAGACCAGCATTAGCACAGCGGATGTCTCCTTCCTCCCGAATCAATGCAGATCGTCCATCTTCCAGGGCAAGACCTTCATCTTTCTCTCCTCTAGGCAGGTGAGACGAGCTCGAGGTCTATTCATGTCATCCTGCATACCTGTCTCCCTCCCTCCCTTCCGCCCTACCACCATTCCTCTTTCTCTCGCTGTCTTTATTCTATCACTTGTGCTCTACCCATCTTGCTTCTTGAAATTGTACACGCAAATACTTTATTTTATGTAGTAACCCTGCTTTTCGTGTTTTGAACTGTTAGGTACTCCAGAAATAAGAGTCCATAATAGAAAAGTTGTTATATTTATTGGATTTATTGGAGTCCATACTAGATAGATTTTCTATTATGGACACTTGATACTTTGTGTTGGTGTTGCCCATTTAGTTCCCACCTACCACACTGAGCCATGTTCTATTCTTTCGCGACAGTTCAAGAAGCTGTCGCTAGCAGTGAGTCTGGGTGGTGGCCAACCCGTGCTCATGGAGGAGGACACGGATGACAACGACGACAGCGTGCTAATAGCGCCCCCTACGTGCGTCATGCACTGTAACCCGTCCGACACGTCGCAGCGACTCACGCAGAACGCGCGCTCGTGGGTCGTTCACGTCATGAAGCAGCTGAACAAGTGAGCATTTCCGCGACGACGTCAGTCGTTTTTACCTGGCAGTGATCTGTCAGATGCAGTTACGCTGTTATCATTGCGGAGTTTGTTGTTTGTTGTGCTCTATCCCTGCGTTCACACGTAGCTAAAACTCAGTTTCGTACGTATACTCAGGACAAATTTTCCTCGTGTGAACGACCACGTATATCCTATACTCAGTTCGAAACGCGTATAGCTATACTGACCAAAAAGGCGTGTTTCGTACGTACTTCATATAGCTCTACGCATTTCGTATGCGTATAGCGGAGTGTGAACAACCGGCTGTTGCTATACGCGTATAACTGGGCGGAGCAACTTGCACAGATTATGAAATATAAGCTCACTGCGCGACTTGTCGAGCTTATACGGCGATACCTCTGATCATACGAAACATGATTATATACGTGTGAACGCTGCATAACTCAAGGCCACGCTATTCATGTTTCGTACGGAGTACGTACGATACGCGTTCGAAACTGGGTTTTGATGTACGTGTGAACGCGGTGTGTGGCGTGGTCCCTTTGGCGTGATTGGCATGCACTCTATACCGTGAAGCTGTTCCCATGGTCATGTTGGTGTAGTTGATGACGTGCCTGTCTTTCAGGCATGGCAAGCGTGCGATACTGGACTCTGAGCTTGGTATGGCTGTGCTGTTCTGTTCTACTGCACACTACTGTAACCCGGATGAACCAGTGCAGGACAGCATGGTCGTAGCTCACATGCCGTCTCAGACATTTACAGAAGGCTATGCTCCAGATACAGAACCACCGCAGATGAAGTAAGTGATGTAATCTACAGGCATGAAAATTTTTCGCGTTTCCGCGGATTTCCGCTTTTTTCCCGATCCCAGAATTGTTTCCGCGTTTTCCGTTTTTTCTTGAGTTTACGTGCAGCATTCGTATTACGGTCATATGTACTGTACAGGCGCACGGTTTATCGATCGTCTACTGCGGCTGGCAGCAATTGCCACCTTATTGTTTTTGCCGAAGGGTAGACTGGTATCCGGCCTCACGCTCTGCTAGACAATGTACATGCTCTGCTACATGTATTCTACTCCCCTCCCCCGCCTCGGGGGGGTTTCAGTGTTTTTCTTTACCGGTCATTTTCATGCCTGAATCTACACTACATGCACATGTGCACACTACTTCACTTGTTTGCTGTTATTCCACTAGCCTGGCCTGTTAATATAATTTTGTTCTTACCTTTAAATCGCCTGTAGCCTTTTTGACCGGTTTTGCAGTAACTGCTACGTGTCTATAAGTACATTTAAGTAATTACGCTGCGTCTGCAGTGACTAGGATTCTTTTACAGATTTGATGATATTGTCTATAACAGATATGGGGAATGAAATAACACAGGGTTCGTGCTGGTGCTTATTAATGCTTAAAAGCAAGCGCTCACAAACTCAGATTCTGAATTATGGTCATAAAAACACAATAAAACATGGTTTTTCTTGTTGTTGTCATTATAAATGTTTACTTTTTACATTTCGTATGTTTGTAAAATGATTTGTTGTGTGATAGTTGTTGTTTGATGTGAATGAAAAGTCGTTTTATTTTTTCCCTATATATTCTTTTGAATGTGTGAAATGATACTTTTGTTATTAGGCTACCACTAATAACAGGACCTAGTAAAAGTGTATGTTACTTGCTTGCGATAAGCAAAAAAGTATTAGCTTTGTGTTTATTAGGCATACTCATAGTATTTCAGTATTTCATTGATATCAGTGGAGTTCTACTTGTTTGACAGGAACTGCTGGAACATGATTTACTTCATAGTAGTCAGTAGTCACTAAGTAAAAACTAGTCAGGAAATTGTTAAATATTGTTGATATAAAGGCAAGATAGGCAAAATTTTGAATAGGCCAAGTGGACTGATTATATGGGGGGTTGAACCGGTGGTTGAGGGGGTTGCACCGCGGCCGCGGCAAAATAGCGCGAATTTCGCGCACTGGATCTCTGATGCTTCTTCACAGGAGACTGCGAGTGGACCAACACCCAGATGATGTCGCTGTTGTGAGGGACAGCTTCGCGATGAAGAACCACTCCATGAAGTCACAAAGCGGCGACACCTCTAGGTGTGACGACGAGTCCCTATCTACGTTCCGATGCCCCCTTCCAGCCACTTCACGTCCCAGTGCCCCTGCTGACCTCCCCCTGCCAATTAGTGGAGAAGTATGCATAAAGCCAGAGCTAGACAGCGAGGGCAGTGCATGGGATCAAAGACCTAACCCGAAGAAGAGGTGAGAAATTTCGTAGCTGCCACACGGTTGATTGTGATGCTGTGATTTTTGCTTGGTCAAACGTGTGTGTCCGACATTTACACTGACTTTGCACCTGAATATAATTATACTAGTAATCATGATGCAGTGATTCTCGTGTTCCTGTGTTGTTGTCGTGTGTTGTGGTAGGTTTCGTGTCACGATATTTCATCTCGGTAATGGTCAGTTATCGGCACATTTCATCGGAACTCGCAGGAAACTGGCAAAGGTCACAGATACTTCAAGAGAGAGTGAGGATTTATTCAAGGGATCCATCGTGGCGGCGACCGCTAACAGCCAACCTGACAGGGTGGATGTGAAGATTGAACCGTCATCACACCCGGGCACGCCTGTGACATCGTGCGAAGCTGTAGACACAGGTGCAGAGATGCCAACCACTACGATTTATCCGTATTTTATACGAATTTCTATTCTTTTTGCACCACTACGACCAGTTTGTATCAAACTACGAATGTTCACTGTGATCGCAATTTTTTTTTTTTGTCAATTATTGTCATTTTTTTAATTTATTGTCATTTTTACCCTCAGAATGCAGGAAATTGCTATCTCAGAATCAAATTTTTTTCGCGGGGGCATCCCGGACCCCCTAGAAAACTCAGGTCGCTAGACGTGACCCTCGAACTACTCATTTTATAGGCCAAGAAACTACAGATTGCTTTAAATATGTGTTGCGCATCTCTGCAGGTGCAACATCACATGTGAATAGTGGAGAACCTGCGATGGGACAGAAGCGTGAACAACCGGAGCCAGTGGCGAAGCATGATGGTCGCCCTGTGACACCACAGGACGACGGTGACAGACATGTGACACCACAGGACCTGACGGACCTGTGACGTCATGGACGCATAGTGCCCGATCTGTGACACCACAGGACGATGGTGACAGACCTGTGACAACACGGAATCATATTGGCAGACCAGTAAGAATAGAGAGTGATGATGCCAGACCCATGACACTAAAGAAGAATGGTGACAGAGCCGTGGGGACACAGGAGGACATGCCAATGGGAGAAGGCCACGGATCATCGGAAGTTAAGAAGGAGGCAAAATTAGCTCTTGAGCCTCCGGTGAACGACGTGGCGTCTGAAACTGAGATTAAGCCAGAAGTTGTCCTCGATTCGAGGAAAGAAGAGGAGAGGAGGAGGCGGAGGAGGAGGAGGAAGCCAAGCATCCACTGCAGCGAGATGTTGGCGATCACTCAGCAGCTGCGGATGGCTACCAGACGGCCAGCGACCGAAACCCGGGTATGTCCGTGCTGATTTTTGTGCTCTCAGCTTTTTCATTTCCTTTCCTAGTAACACAATTTCGTATGTTTCAGTACTAAGCCAGCAGGCATCTAACTGATTGGTAGTAATGAAAGTGGACGCTCGTTGTTAAAAAATCACAAGGTATTTAATTTCCCAGTGTGTAAATATCTGATATCTGTATTGTATGAATGAGTGTAGGTAGCTGGCAATGGGTGAACAAATAAAATGCTCATATATCAGAGATGCCAACCACTACGATTTATCCGTATTTTATACGAATTTCTATTCCTTTTGCACCACTACGACCAGTTTGTATCAAACTACGAATTTCACTGTGATCAAAAAAAAAAGAAAACATTTTTTGTCGATTTATTGTCATTTTTGACCCTCAGAATGCACGAAATTGCATCTCAGAATCAAAAATTTTTCCGGGGGGGGCATGCCGGACCCCCCTAGCAAACTCGGGTCACTACGTCACCCTCGAACTACTAATTTGATGGCCAGAAACTACAGATTGCTTCAAATATGTGTTGGCATCTCTGATATATAATACACAAAGACTATGCACATCTATGGTATTTTACTCCCTAGGGGGCACCACTGAAGCCGGACAATGGAGAGTTGGACGAGGACAGTGACACCCACATAGGCGGGATGGTCGTAGAGTATGGCGACCTCGTTGTAAAACGGACGACGAAGTTGTCGAAACAAGTGAGCGGTCATTGTGCACCGCAGCCGGGAACAACTGTAAAAAACTTCAAAAAGTTCCGGAAGGTGAGCGTGCGACCAGTTGTTCATTAGATCAGCTGCAGCTGTGGGAACCACGTGCTGGTGTTCAGTCGAACACACAGAAGGGAACAGACTGGATGGTTCAGTAGCCGACTGGTCTGCTCTATAAGAAGGGCTACTCTGTTGGGCGTAACCTGACCAATTCAGCAAATTGATGCAGGTGGTTAAGTTTGGTTTCGACTGCCTAATTATATGTGCACTATGATTCAGTGGAAAAAACATTAGTGCCTTCATACTGTAACAGCTGTTTGTTCACGTAGCCAGAGACTATTATTTTAGCAGAGAGCGTGACGCGACGCATCTTTTGAATCTAGCAGTTTGACACATCAGTGTGAATGTGTTGTACCAGAATGCAGGGTTATGGCTAAAATGTGGAGGAGTCTGGTTGTGTTCGCGAGAGGAAGCACACGCGCTTACGCACGTGTGCGCATTTCTTTGTTCCTTTGTGCAAGATGGACACACTGTGTGTAAGATATTAATGTTTATTCAGGTTACCACACAAGTTTGGATTTCTATATCATCATTTATACATCGGACTTTCAATTCAAAGTTACAATACCATTGACTCGGGGCCTAAAATTGAGTCGGTTTTACAGAAAGAAAATTTAATCGATCAGTGATTGCCTCGTCATTTATTGAGGGCGATATTTAAGCGGTGTATCTACTACTGTACTCTTTCTGTTTGCAGGTGTTGGGAGCCACTGGTGTGCAACTTCCTGTCTGCATCATAGGTGGCTCTGACCTGTATGCGCAGGTCAACAAGAAGCTGTCGAGAATGAGAGATGACAAGCAGGTACGCGTGACGAACTGATGCCGACGACTTGGTCGTAAACACGTCGTAAACATGTACCAATCTGTTTCTACGATCACAGCTCACACGTCAATGTAATACTGAAAGCAGCGGCTATTAAACCACGACACTTGCTTCAATGGTTACCGTTCCATGACTAGAATGAAGCTATAGTCTTCTAAATTCATAATAGTTTTTAATTTGTGTATATGCAAGATGAAGCCGAGTCCAATTCCGCTTGTCTCGTACAGCATCCGATCTCGACCGATTTTTGAGTCGCTGGTTTTTTTAGAACGGGAATTTTAAATATTGCGTTTGTCGTTAGGTAATGATGTAGAGGACACCGTGGCTGTCTACACTCGCTCCATCTACGTTCTACTGTACACCGGTGACCACTACGTCGACCAGATGCCTCATTGGCAGCATCGTCACAGTGGCAATGTCAAAGTTACCTGCTCGGTCATCTTATGTCCATTCATTTGTCACCCGAATGTCTGAAGCTGCACATGTAGAATTCATTCTCATGCAGGTGGAGGTTGTGCTAAAGTCTAGCCTGTGCTCGCTCTGTATGCAGTTGGGTGAGGCGTGTTCCTGCAGTAAATTTCGCTGCTTGATCAATAATTGAGCATTATTCGTGAACCACTCAGGCCGCAGCTGTAAAAGTCTTGGTTTTATTGCGTGAACAGGGTGCGAAATTAACGGGAGTCCAGAGTCAAATACTCCCTGATTTACTGTCGAACTCCCTGATTTGACGTATGCAGGAGTCCGTGTGACTCCCTGAAAATTCTGCCATACTAACTAGTTCGTTCCAGAGCACGGCCTCGTGGAATTACCGTATTTTTTCAGCTAATGTCCAAAGAAAATTTGGCAGACGTGCAATCGCATGAATCTTAAAAATAAGCACATGCGTTATTATTATTACATTTAATTTTGAACCTCAGACTGCAGACTCCCTCTTTTTGAGGGTAGGGAGTCTGTTGGACTCCCGTGTTCACAAGTTAATGTCTACCCCTGGTGAACATGCGCGTGTATATACATGTACATAGAAGATACGTTCATGATGTTACTTTTGTAGCCGGAGTGTGAGAAGAGGTAGTTTACAAAGTATGGTTAAGGTATACGCAATGCCCGGCTTGTGGACTTGGAATAAATACAATTGTGTGACAGAGGTACTGTATAATAATGAATCCTTCTCGTATGAGTATGCGCGATTTCTTGTAATGATCAAATGTTCAGATTCCAATACCTTGTCAAAGTGTATGTTTACTGAAGCTTCTTTGTTTACATTACATAGGAAACCAATATAGCTCAGTGTTATCGATGGTAAGGTTTGTACCACAAGGACACAATTTTAACTTGCCTTTTTGTGGTTACATAACAGTATACAATGTCTGCATCCGTGCCCATTAAACAGGTTTCTACTGTAAGCTGCTTTGAATTTATGTAATTAAGACGTAAGATACAATCAGCAGTGAATACGTACAAAGAAATTCACTCCCGATATGGTGCACCAATGTCCCATTCCTATTCCATTATCACGCTTCAAAATACTATGGTGATTGATTGGTGCTGCTACCTACATCAATATTCTGAGACAGTAGAGATGGCAATGTAGTTTAAGTAAATTATATTTTTGCGTATTAATTTAACATTTGAGTTGTGTAACAGAGTACATCTGTTACTTTACATATATGCAGTTTTGTGCAACAAATTACAAATTATTATCACAATTTGTTGGGAGACTAAAAGAATTTATTGGCTTATGCTTCTATACAGAAACATTAAACTTCTATACAGAATTCACTATATATGTATTTCTTACTTAATATACAACATACACAATGTGTAACAGCTCACCTTGCTTGATTTTTTTTTTATAGATTCTATATATGATAACACTGCCACCTACAATAGTATCAGGAGTGAATAATAATAGATTCTATTGAATAATAATCTATATCTATAGAATATCCATAGAATAAAAATCGATTATTATTCACTCCTGATAGTATGTAGTCGTGTGTACTGTGTAGTTGTCCCCGCATTTGGCACACTGGTGGCATCGTTCTGTATACGAAACAATTTGAACCTCCTGTGCTAAAATCACTCGTGTTCAGTGTTCGCATCAGTGAAAAAAATACACGGGGGCTCGGGGCGATTTAGCCCCCGAAATGCCAAAAAGAGCCCCGGAAATACCAAAAAGAGCCCCCGTAAATTTGCATAGAGTTCAATGCAAACCAAATTTTAAAGTGCTATTTTCATGCACGCGAGCTTGAAAAGTAGCCCCCGAAAAATAAATAATATTTTTTCCCCTGGTTCGCATGCGTTACGTTGGTTCCTCCTCGGTGGTGTAGATCGGGTTAGGCTCGGCATTCGGCAGCAGTCCCATGCTGAGCGCCGAGAGCTCTGTCTCGTATGCAATCGGCGTGTTCGAGTCCGTCACCGCGGCAACGTCCGTCGCCATGTCGTTGCAGACGACGGCGGCGTTGTTCGCCGGATCGCGTGCGTCCACGCCGTGGATGCGCGTCAGGTGCCGCGTCAGGTGGTGCTTGTGGTTGAACGCATAGCCGCAGTAGCCACAGCTGAAGCGTCCCGTGGCCGTGTGCCCGCGCACGTGCGCGCGGCACATCACCTCCGACTTGAAGCGCAGCGTGCAGTCGGCGTAGACGCACGGGAACGGCCGCGCTGGGTCGTGCACCTGCATGTGCTTGCCGAGCGTCGACCGGTCCTTGTACGCGACGCCGCACACCTCGCAGAGCATGCATCCCTGCGGATGCACCTGTCGGTGAGCCTGTGCTGCGAGCTGCAGCGATGACGCAAAGTCGCACTGCGTGCAGCGGTAGGTGGCGTCGCGCGCGTGCCCGCGGCGATGCTGCGCCAGGTTCGCGCGCGTCGAGAACCGCTTGCCGCAGTCCGCGCACGGGTGCCGCAGCTCCGTGCTGTGGATGGCAGCGTGCTTGGTGAGGTACTGCCGGCAGGGGAACACCCTGCCGCACACGTCGCACGCGACGGGGCCCTTGTGGTGACGCCGGCGACCCCTGTGCGCGCGCTTATCGTTGCCCAGCAGGTGGCGCAGCTGCAGCAGCGTGGCAGCCGTCGACTCGTGGCTGCGCGTGATGTGCACCCGCAGAGCGTCCGCGTCGACGAAGCGATCCTCGCAGTCGATGCAGCGGAGCGGTGTGGGGGCGCCACCGTGCAGCGTGCGCAGGTGCTGGCCAATCAGCTTCGCTGTGCACGTCGTGAAACTGCAGAATGAACAAGAGAGCGTCGTTACGATGTAGTTGAACTTGCGGCCGTTGATCCGCTGCTCTTTGCGATACAGCCAGAAATCAGGCGGCGGCGGCGGCGGCAGCGGCGTTGGCTCTGCATTCTTTTCCACTAGGTGGCGCTCTTCAGAGATGTTGATTATCTCGACATGCATCGTTGAGACGTCGCCGTCACCTTGCTCCTTGCTCCTCTGTCTTTCTGTGGCAATGCGAGGTGGCTCAGTATACTGAATCGTTCTGCTGACCTGCATGGGATAGATTTCATTTTAATTCATGCACAATCCATTAAGTAAATGTATTTTCATGTTTGTGCATGTGTGTGTGGGTCTCGTTGTATACCCATCTTTATATGAATCTGTACATACGCTGTAGATGTATCTATGCATGAAGAAACACAAGGCACAAGCACCTGAACATCGGTGCTGGAATTTTCCTCTTTTATCAGCTGGGGCTGCGGTTTGCGAATCTTGTGGTGATTGGAGTAGTGTCGCAACAGTCCGCCCTGCTTCTTAAATCTTCTGGCACACAGTTGACAGCTGAACATATCATCTGCACTATCTGAAATTATTTGCACAACTGTAATCATTTCTCAAATATTAAAATGGACTAGGTACCCGCTTTTATGTTTTTCTATATTTGGTATGTGAGCTCTGGGCATGCAGATTGATTGCAACCCGCGCCAACAAATCATTGGCAATGAGAGTTACATGCTTTGTTTAGGCACTCGTAACACGGATGGGTGCCTTACGGGAATTTCAGCTCAAACCCTCATCTTTTATTAACACATTTCACCATTTTGTAGTCCATCCATTCCAGTAAGTAAAATAATTAATGCTCCGCAATAAAACAGAGCAACGCAACTCTTACCGTAGCCATGGGCTCATAGCCTCGTATCGACATTAAAAACGACACAGCTATTAAAAGTACGAAACAATTATGGATTATGCCTGCTCACGTTCAGTGTAATGGAAGACCAACTCTAACAGAGACTTGCTTGGCTGTCCACAATCTCCACAGGAGAGTTCGCTGCTCAAGTAACCCATGGCAACAATAACCTAAAAAATGATTACAAGAAGAATAGGCGATTAAGATAGATAAACAATAGATTATGTATTTAGTACTACATTTCGTGTTTATTTACCATCACTTTATTATTGAAACGGTCTAAGTGCCTGTGGCTGTGCCAATGTGTAAACTGCTGTTACTATAGCTGATGTTACTAATGACGTGCCTAGTCCGCTAGTGACAGTACTCAGTAGTGTGGTTAGTCGCAACGAACGATGGCTAATCTCGGGGCGCATTTCTTTTTGTCGGATCCACGGATTTCAATCCGATGGATTCGTTGATCTGACTGTTTGTTTGGTCGGATCACTTGATCGCGATCCACCGAACCCGACCCTGCTAGCGAGGCGGATTCGAACGGGATCCAATATGGCGGCCTGCGCCTCAGCCAATCACAGCTTGTTCTTTGTTATGAACCATCTCGTGATAGGTCACAGCGAAACGTGAACCGGTGAAAGTAAGTTTTGCGTTTGTTTGGTTGGATCAGGATCATATGATCTCGATTCGTCCCAAACAAACGCGCCCTTGGGCAACGAAGGACACGTCACACATGCCTTTTGCTGGTTATTGTCAAAACATATCATGCAAACTTGCTGGCGATGCCGTAGTATATCTTCTACTTCTACTTCTACTTCTATACTGGATAGTCCGTAAAGAATAACTGTCCAGGGCTATAGCTAACCATGGGGTGTGATTTAGCTTGGGTAAAGCCAGGTAGTAAGCCTTTTAGCCGAATGGTACTGAGGGTGGTCACAGCCAGAGTTTTTTTTAAGCCCTCAGTGGTTCTTTTAGTTTTACGTCCCCATTGGCATTGGCTTAGTATTACTGCCATACTGGAGTGGAGACGGGACCGCCATTTTACGTGGTCATCCGAGCCACGGGAGTCTCCAATGTTGAGAGCCAGGTTTTCACACCTTGCGAAAATTCACTACTATCATTATTAAAAAAAAAATCATAATAAAAGATCAGAGGCTTCAGTGGACAGTATACCGTATACGTGGCCTAAACCACTGCCACTGGCACTGCCACTGCCACTGCTGAGTGCTGACTCTCGGCTAGGGCCTGCATACCTCCCAACGTCCCATTGCCATTGGTTGATACAAATCTAGTTAATTTTTTAAATTAAATTGTAATTAGTGTTAGGGTTAGGATTAGGGTCACAATGCACCATAAAAGTTTTATTTAAAGCGGGAGTTTCAGGCACGTGATATGTATCAACCAATGGTATTTGGGAGATATGCAGGCCCTAGCTGCGAGTTGAGTGCTGGTGTCACGGTCTGAGATTACCCCCAGTCTGAAATTACCCCTAGCACCTCGTGCGCATGCGTGACGCATGCGCAGTAGCGCTGGATAATGAGACTGCCGCGGCC